TCACTAACTTTAACTCAGTTACATGTTTTTCAAAATTACTGAGGGTCGGGGGTTCCGACTTGAGTCGGGAGTTCCGACGGTCGGAAGTCCCGGCATTCTTCGGGAGTTCCGATGCCTCACAACATCACTGTAACTTAGTTACCGTTGGCGCAGTCTGAGTCATACCGGACGTGTCCGGTATGCATACCGGACGTGTCCGGTATTGCAACGGCTATAAAACGGCTAGTTTTTCAAGGGGGCTATAAATACCCCCAAGCCTCCACCTTTGGAGGCTGCTGATTCTACTGACTTAGACACACGTTTTTGAGCCTTGCCAACCCTCTCTTAGTGAGTGATTGATCAAACTTGCAAAATCAATTTGTGGGTTGAGTGAAATTCAAAAGAGAGCCATCCAACCACTTGAGCACTTGTGCATATTGTCAATCTCATGATTCGCATTGTTACTCTTGGACTCTTCGGTCCTAGATGGTTAGACGTCGCCGGAGAGCACCCGGGAGATTGTGGTGTGCCTCGGAAAGTTTGTAACGGTCGATTCCGCCGCCTCGGAATCAATTAGTGGAAGGAGGAAAAGGAGTTGAAAAAGACTCCGGCTAGAGTGACCTTCGTGGTATCCTCTAGGGCTGACCTTCGCTGGGTCGCCCGCAGCCCCCTCAACGGAGAGTAGGACTCGAACGAGTCCAAACTTCGGTAAAACAAATATCGTGTCTCAATTCGCATTTCATTTGATATTTGTGTTGCTCTAGCACTTGTGCAGGTTCTCTATGTACACTGATAGTTAAATTAGGTGCCTGCAGTTTGGTTTGAAGATAGAAATCAAAAGGAGCAAGTTCGGGGCTGATTTGCAGAAATCGTGTATACCGGACACGTCCGGTATTCATACCGGACACGTCCGGTATTTCCTGCCTGCACTAAAAATATTTATTCTCTGTTCTAACTTGATGTTGCAGGGTTGTAGCTTCTAGATATATTCTTTATACCTTGTTTACTCTGTGGCTAACTTGTGAGGGGTGGTAGTACTCTTAATTTGGAGTTTCCATTTTGGAAACTCCCCTTTCTAATTGTTTCCGCATTTAAAGGTGTTAATTTTCAGAAACGCCTATTCACCCCCCCTCTAGGCGACATCCTAGGTCCTTTCAGTAACATACCAGATCAGATCTTGTTTCAATACCTAAATGGGTTCTACATTATTTGTATAGGTTCCTGTGGTTACCAATGACACGGACACATGTGGTAAGCACCTATCTTCTGAACTTTGATGTGTTTAGGTTCGAAACCTTGTGGTGTATTTTTATTTAATCGTTTTACTTAACCATTGTGCTCGAGAACCTTAGGTATTGCAATGATGTAGTCTTTCATTGCCACATGTACAATCCTTTTGCAACACAAAAGACTATTACATACAACAAAACATAATCATTGCAACATAGACATGCTATTAATTTGTATAAGGTTCTGTGGCTACTAAGGACAAGAATAGAATTACGGTGTAGTGGTGAGTAGCTTTCCTTAACAGTCAAAGGTCTCAGGTTCAAAACGTGGTTACACATCGTTCTTTTAAAAAAATTTCCTATAAGCGTTGTGCTCCCGAACCTTAGTGATTGCAACGATTTATTTTTTCGTTGCTATATGTACAACTCTTTTGCAACACAAGCGACTATTACATACAACGAATCATATTCGTTGCACCATAGACCTGCTATCGCAACCAACAACTAAGGAGTTGCAATATCAGCTCAATATTGCAACGCCAATTAATGAAACTACCCGCAACGCAAATCAAATCATGGCAACAGTGACCACTTATTGCAACCAGTTTACAATTGGCTACGTTAACACTTACTTATTGCAACGATCTTCACACCAAGGGCCATGAAACAATTTGGGTGGCAAAAATCCCATCTATCGCAACCAAAAGTGCAAATGGTTGCGATAACACCCCATATTACAACCAAATCTTGTCGTTGCGACAAAAAAGCGTGGCATAAGGGTCAAAACTTAGTAGTGGGTTGTACCTCCTAATCACTTCATGAGCTTACTTGAGATCACCCAATGCGACATTTCATAGTTAGGCTCAAATAGATGTGTTATTTTAAGAATGCTCTTTGTAGGATAGAATTTTTGCTTGTTAAAGCCAATGGAAACACATTAAGCCACGTCGCCAGCCATACATCTTCACTTAGAGAGGGTTATAGATTCTCTCCTCAGTTTACCCATAGCTTTTTCTTCCTAGATCCTTAGTTATGTGATCTCCGATCAAAAAGGTTGGGTTACCGCTATTGTAAACTCAAATAGGTCTTATACCTATCTCCCTCAATGCATTTTCTATCACATTCTGTGATAGCCCTTTTGTAAAGGGATTTGCCTAGTTTTTGGTTGTTTGAATATGAGTCACAACTATTATTCCATAGTTTCTTAATTTCTTGATAGACTTCAAATGTCTTTTAACATGTCTCGTTGACTTCACATTATCCTCAGTATTGTTCTCCTTGACAATCACCGTTTGGTTGTCACAGTTCATAAGGATAGCCAATATTGATGTTTCAACTACTAGCAAATCCATCAAGACACGTAGATATTATGCCTCTGTAGTAGTTATATCCAAAGCAGTTAGTTCTGCTTCCATAGTTGACCTCACCAAACTAGTATATTTGCAACACCTCCATGACATTGTGACACCTCTGAGAGTAAACACATACCACTTGTGGTTTAGAGCTCATTAGCATTAGATATACAGTTTGAATCACTATATCCCGCAAGCAAAGCTGGGTGCTCAGAATAGTGAATCACATAGCTCATTGCACCTTTAAGATAATGCAAGAGCCTTTCCAGTGCAAGCCAATGATCATCACCTAGGTTGAACATGAACCTACTCAATTTACTCACAGCAAAAGAGATGTCTAGTTTTACTGTGCTAGCTAGGTACATGAGTGAACCGATAATCTGAGTACCTAATCTGGTCTCTAGCTATCCTCTTGTTCTTTCTCAATGTCACACCGGGACCATTAGGTGTTGGAGAAGGCTTGCTATCTATAAAATCAAATTGGTTCAAGACCTTCTCAATATAGTAAGATTATACAAAGTAATTCCAATGTCATCCTTAATCAGCTTGATGTTTAAAATCACATCATCTTCTCCCATAGCTTTAATGTCAAAGCTCTTTGATAAAAAAGACTTGACCTCATTAATCGCAACAATGTTTGTACAAAAAATTAGAATATATCATCAACATACAAACATAATATGAATAAATGATACGCCCCGCAATGGTGCTAATTCACTTGTCAGCCTCATTAATGGCAAAGCCCAGGAAAGTAAAAATTCTGTTAAACTTCTCGTGTCATTGCTTAGGTACTTATTTCAAGTCATACATAGATTTCAATAACTGACACACCTTGTGCTCTTCATCTTTTACTATAAACCCATCGAGCTGATCCTTGTAGATTTCCTCGTCCAACTCTCCATTAAAGAAAGTTGTCTTCACGTACATTTGATGAACGAGAAGACAATAAGAGGCAACCAGGGAGAATATGAGTCGAACAATGGTCATTCTAGTGACAAAGTGAATATGTATCAAAGAAATCCTTATCTTCCTTCTAGGTATAACCCTTAGCAACAAACCAAGCCTTGTACTTGTCAATAGTACTATCAGGCTAAAGTTTTTTCTTGGACACCCACTTACAAGGTGTGGAAGAGATTGGAGGAATCATGAGGGAACCTCCACTGTCAAGGACGCCAAGGTATACATATTTAAGGACAAGTATGTCAAGTTCAAGAGCATGTCGTTCAAGAAGGGGCATGCATATTTGTCTTGAGTGGGATGCCGATGCTTCCACAAGTGATGGTGATGATGAAAAGACTCCCTCCAAGTCATTTGCGGGCATCGCCATCAACAAGAAACCTTCCATCTTCGACACTCCTACTTGCTTCATGGCCAAGGGCCCAAAGGTACAATACAATGAGAGTGATGGTAGTGAGATTGAGGATGCGGAACCCTCTAAGGAGGAACTCATTGTGATTTTGAGAAGCCTTCCATCTTTGACACTCCTACTTGCTTCATGGCCAAGGGCCCAAAGGTACAATACAATGAGAGTGATGGTAGTGAGATTGAGGATGCGGAACCCTCCAAGGAGGAACTCATTGTGATTTTGTTAGAGGGCCATGCCCCAATTTAAGGAATTGGGCATGAGACATAAGGCTCTTGAGCAATCCTTTGAGCATATGACCACTCATGAGGCTCTACTAGAGTCTCATCAGAAGGTCAAAGAAGCTCACTCAGCCCTTCTTGCTCAAAGGGAGGAACCTATTGAAAAAGCAAGCGTTGGAGTCACTTGTGATTTAATTGATGATATCATTTGTGCTCCTATTGTTGTTGCTACTAAGTACTAACCCTACTTGTAGAACTAGCAAAGCTACCCCTATGAGTGATGCAGTTAAACAGGTACACTCAGAAGTATATGGCTGAACAGCAGGGCCCAAAGAACCTAACTCTTTGATGGTAAATCCATCATGTTAGATCATGGAAAACAGGAAGAAGAAAATGAGCTAAGTTGCAACAGTAGTATTATTGGACACAGGAGAAAAACAAGTAATCAATTTGCACAAAGGGTCTTTAACATTTTACAGACAAGACTAGATAACAATTGTTCAAACACATTACATAAATACATACTAGGTTAACAGTAACTGTACATCAAGCAAAATTATAGCACAAAGCTTAGGTTAATTCTGCCTCCAGTAAGAAAGTCTAACACAAAAGATGAAACATCTTCAATCTTCACAAACGAAAGCAAATTTACAGTGAGGTTCTACTGCAGTATGGGTAAATGAAACCTGAAAAACTATCGCACTGAAATCTGGAAAAAATTCATCCCCAAGCAAATACTATTCGTTAAATCCAGGTATCATTCGGCATGATACAGGATTTTCAGCTGCTATTGTCAAAATCTTGGTCTTCAGTGCTCACCTTGACAGAAAAAAAAAATCTGTGTAGGATGAGGCAGCTAGCGGTCACTCTTGCCTTTTGAAAATAACCGACTGAATCCTCGACCCTGTTTCTCTGGTTCATTAGAAAATGAGGAAGATGACGATCTTGATCTGTGCTTTGGACGCTTAGAACTGCTCGGTGAAGCAAAGTAAGGGCTTCCTACATTAGTAGGGCTTTTGTGTGTATTATATCCATTCAGGGGGGATACATTTCCTGTTCCTGGGGCATTTGAGAATGTATAATCTGCATCAAATTGACCTGATGCTTTCTTAGAATGTGTGCCTTGAGCTGGCCCTACTTGATCTTCCGGAAATTTCCCCACCAGTTGTCTGTTTAGTGCAGAACTCAATGATTCTGATGGAGGGCGCAGGGTTTGCAGCTGCCGACCAAGAAGCAATATCGTCTCCTGGCACTCCGCAAGTTTCTCTGCTGCAGCAGCTATTTCTTTCTCCTGTAATCATTCCAAAAGGAGATATTGACCATCTAGCATTTAAAGTAAAAATATGCAGCATTTTCATGTTTAAAGACATCAACTTAGAAAAATACAGAGTAAGGAGAAAGGGTGGGGAGCAGTATTTGTATACTTTGGTCTTTAATTTAATAAAATATATGGAATGATCAATGAGGGCTGAGCAAAAATAATACCAGAATGGAAACAAGAAGCATATGTAATCATTACACGAATGGGGAAAAATAAATTTAAAGATCTGGGACTTATGAGCATACCGTCTTCAGTTTAGTATCTAAATCCTTTGGTACCCACATTGAATCCTTCTCATAGCTTTGATAACAGAAAAGAGAAAAACATAAGAGAATATATGATTTTATAAGAAACAATAAATAGATTTAGGAAGCTAAAACTGCTATAACCTAATAGATAGAAATAGTCTAAAGCACAGAAAATCACCTTTCCATTTTCACCTCGAGATATCTATGCCTCTGTCTTTCTTCAGCAAGGTCAGCTGATAAAGTATCTATCTTTTTCTGTAAAACTTTTATTTCTTCTTCTAGTTTCACCTTCTGTGACTCAAGTGTTTTGTATGATTCAGCCATACACTTTAATTGTGTTTCAGCCAAGCTATTAGATTTCTCATGTGCAACCAACTTAGATTTAAGGTGTTCAAGGTTTTTCTCCATCTCACTTAATTTGAGATTTGTACTTTCAGCCATTTCATTGCACATTTTCAATTCCATCTCTAAGTTTCTCTTTTCCAATTTCAGTTTTTCATATTCTTCTGGTGCGCATATCTGCACTGCAGATTTAATATCAAATGCATCACTAGGACTCGGACCCTCGAATTCAGGGTCAGAAGATGAATGCAGCATAAGTGAACAAGTGTCAGACAGGCTACCTTGAGATGGCTCAAGATAAACTTTGTTTTCCAATAACGTTACTTTATCAACACAATCGACACTATTGCTTTCTGCCTCATTAGCACTCTCTTTCAACAATGTGAGTTTATCCTCACCACTTCCCAGCAACATTTCAGAAAATGCAATCACGATCTCATTTAAACCATTGCCATCAGACAGAAGATCATCAACTAATGATGAGAACCGTTCTACTTTCTGAGATACTGTATTATAGTAAGAACTTCCTTGTAACTCTGATGCTCGTCTTACAAATAACTTGACAAATTCATGGATCTTCAAAATGGCTTTTGTCAGCCTTTGATCCATGGTGCCCAAGGGCTTGACTTCCTCTGTTGAAGATCCACTGCCAGCAACTTCGACCATGTCATCATGTTGTATTTTGTTTCTGTTCACAGATTCTGCCTCTTCTTCAATATCTCTTAGGATATTCCTGATACCATCCAGTACCTTAACATCATTTGGTGGTGATTGAGATTTCAACAAAGCAGAAATTCTCAAATGCAGTTTCAAAAATAGGGCCTTATCAATCAGGTCACTACTAAATGAAGAACCAGGTGATTGCAAAGGTGGCGATGATATTTTGTTGCTCACTGTCAACTCAACTTTACCAACCTTCTTGTCAACAATGACCCCACATTCCTGAGCTTCAGAAGAAAGACATGCCAATCTCTCCATCTCCAGGAAGTCGTCCATGAGGCCCATCTGATTAGAGTTTTCAGTCAAAGTGTGTTTACCTCCTTTATGTTTCTTGATGCGTGACAGTTTTGATTCCAAAGTATTAGCCCAAGCCTCCTCACAACTTCTTGCATTATCAACACCATCTTCAGACATGGAAGTTAGGCTTGGTGGGTTGCTTCCTTTCCGACTTGATGCAGAAGTATCAATGTATGAATTTGTTGGGCTCATGTATAGGTTAGCACTCAATACATGCAGTTCCATACTATGAAGCTTACTTGAAGACTTAGCGCACATATTTTTTGATGCCTGTAGCTCTTGGTTGCATTTTGACAGTGCACCTTTTAACTTCTTGGTTTCCTCATCCATTGACAACAAATGGGCTGTTAACAATTCATTCTCTTTCTGCATGTTTTGCAAGTTTTCACGAGCATAATCAGGAGATGGACACATAGGATACTGGAATGTAGAACTCCTTGAAAACGAACGCCGGTTGTCTCCTGGGTCTCTACTCCAGCTATCCACTTCCATCTTCATCTGAGCTAATGCGGCAGGCATAGGTAACTTTTTCCAGACAAGGCCACGTAATCTTTGGCACTCTACTTCCAGTTTTGATATTTTCTTGACATCCTCCATATGTTGTTTGATTGCTACATCAGCTGAACGAACACTCATGTTCTTCTCCTCATTGCGAATGTCAAGCTCTTTAGAGACAGCATGTAGTTCATACTTCAGTGAATTTACCTCCTTTTCACCTGACTGGATAGTGCTCTTTAGTACTTCAATCTGGGCTTCTGCTTGAGCCTTCTCCTCATGAACTTTCATCAGCAAATTTTCCCGTTCTCCAAGAGACCTTGAGAGTGCATCATTCTCAGAACCAGCTCTAATCAGTTTTTGTTCAAAGTCAACTAATTTTGCTTCTAGTTCAGCCCTTATCTTCTCAAAGTTTTTGGTCTTTGCAAGTACTATATCATGCAGCTTTTGCTCACCTTCCTTCACTGCCCTCACTTGCTTCATGCATTCTTTTAGAGCTCCATCCAGATGGGTAGCTCTTTCCTCAGCTGCTAGCTTGTATAATGTTACAGTTTCTAGTTGAAGTTTCAGTGCTGAGGCCTCTGCTTCAGCTTGCTCCCAACCTGACATTAAATAAATATATTAGTTTTATGGATTACTAGATAACTGAATTCACTACGACATAACAATTGGAAGGTGATGCCGAATTACTATAAGATATATTCCATCCATACATAATGCTACCACGTACATTTCCATCAATTTGAGTTTCAGTGGAAATTGCAAAGCCAAACTCATTGACAAATCAAAATTGACAGGTTATATAACTTTCCCTTCATCAAAAAGAGGAAAGTAAAAAATAATTGCAATCAGGTTCACCTGATACAGCTTCTTCAGCCACTTTAGCATGCTGCTTTACTATAGCATCTTTGGTGTTCATCTCACATTGTGCAGCAGATATTTTGTCATTCAGTATCTTTATCTTTGCACTCAGTATTTCAACTTGTTCTTCTGATGCAGTAAGATGTGAATATCTTTCTGGTGAAATCTGCACGTATTTTGGAACTTCCTCATCCTGCAAAAGAAAGAAAGCAATTCAGAAGGGAACCCTCAATCAAGAAGGGTACTAATCACTACATTAGTTTAAAAAGTTTCATTTTGGAAATGTCAACAGTGGAGGTAGGTAACTGATAATGACGAGCAGTTGATGAATAAATCAGTTATATGCCTTAGCACCAATGACTCGTTGCAATACTGCAGCTATACCTATACAGAAGTCTTGACACAAAAAACAAGAAAAGAAAAGGAAATCAACATACAACAAAAAATGTATATTTTGGCATGCTATGTGCACCATGTCATGCACTCAGTATTGTTGTTGTTGTTGTTGGCTATGGGAACCATGTCATGCCATGAGTTATGAACAAGATACAAGGGGTTTAAAGTTATTTCAACAATTGGTGTAAGAAAATCCCTAGGCACATAGAAGGCTATAGTGGCTGGTGAGCATCTCATTCTCAATTTTACCACATGCTCACAGTTATACTTTGGTACTACTAAAGTATTGTTTCCAGAAATAGGCAGTAAATGCACACAAAGCATGTACCATGGTTATCAAAGTTAAACTGCTCCACAGCAATCAAGTAATGTACAATTCCGTGAATTCATTCCCTAGGTGGGTTGGGGGCTTGGTCATGGTCCATAGTACCCTATGAATTTGCAATTAAAAGTGTTAAATGGACATGTAAGTAGACCAGACACTATTAAGTCTCCTACCATGGGAGAAGATACTAAGATGCAAATGTATGAATTAAACAAAGAACAGGGTATAACAGTGCATTATCATCCTTCTGAAAGGTACTACACGACCAGCCTTACAGGCTTCCTTTCAGTGTTGCAAATGAGCTTACATAAAATAGCCCATTGAAATGAAGAGTGCTGTTTTGTAAGGGTTCCCCCTTTTTTCTTCTTAATACAATGATACGCAGTTCTCCGACGTGTTCGAGAAAAAAGAAAAGAAGAGGGTCGGTGGCAAAGAAAAATGAATGCCTAAAAGCAAAGGCCATTCTGTAGCCATCGGATGCCAGAATTTCAAGAAAGGAAGCAAAGTGAGGCTTCTATATCATTTTCATGGTCTAGGAAAATACTTCAAACAAATAGCCAAATAAGGAACATATAATATTTTCCACAAATGGGGCATAGAACCAATACATGTGTTGATCAAATATTTACTGAAATTTCAACTAACCAAAGAGTAACACGAACCTCTGCTTGATTGGGTCTCTGTAAACCATCTTTGTCTGATGATTTATCAGAAGATTTCTTCTTCCAAGGCCAGCTTCGTCGATCCATGCCAATTGTGACAATCAAATATGTTGAATATATATCAGTTAAGCATGAGAAGAGCTGGATCTATCACTTGTTCGAATGATTCCCTTTTGAATGTCTGAAGTTCCAAAAGTAAGTAAAATTAAGATATCCATCAATCTATTCAGAAAACAGAAAGGAAGAAAACTGATGTTGAACAACCAACTTGGATACAAAACCAGGAATGAGGCTGAAGAAGCAAAAAAATAATTTCAGGGAATGAGGCTTCTACAACTTATTCAACCAGCAGGAGCTAGTTCTTATATACAAGCCCCCTCAATTCTAACCTATTTGGTTGTTGGATTAGTATTGCACACACTTCACTGATTTCTGCCACTTTTAGCGTGTTCCTGGGGAATCCGGCCTTTCAACCCTTTTCTCGACCCTGTGTTGAAATTGTCTTCTTAATGAAATGCCTCGGGTAGTTGTTTACCTGGGCTCGGGTTTTATTCGACCATTCACAGCCAGCAACCAATTCAATTACTTCCGCCTCACTCACACTTACAGGAGGATGCCTCAAGACATAGGACAAAGAGCATCTCAACTTGTCAAGGAGCAGAAATCAACAATAATATGCTTTAAACAAAACACTCAATAATAGTCGGTAAACACTTGTAGCAAAATAAACACCAAAACACATTCTTAAAGCCCCACAAATAAACATGACAACCAGCTATGGAACCCTTGTAGCAAAATAAACACCAAAACACATTCTTAAAGAAACGGACAATGTAGTTAAAGTATGGATAGACCCAACTATTCTAGCAAACGCCTGTGGATGGTTGAGACTAGCAGGGGGTTCTATGCAGTTTATTTTGTCTCTAGTAGTCCAACCATTACATGAAATCGGCATGCGAAGTTTGGGGTGACTAAGGGGTGTTTGGATCCAACCAGCTCTATTAGCTGCTAAAAATTAGCTGAGATGAATCTAATAAAAGCTAGCTAAATGTTTGCTGTACACCCAGCTAACAACTCACCAACCAAGTTCATAGCACCTAACACACTTTGGCCCTTCCACATTCGTCTTATCCTAGTGCACTATCGGTAGCAGTTGTTTTGTCGCTAGTAGTCAGACTATCACATGAAATCGGCACGCTAAGGTTGGGATTATTAAAATAGCACTTTGATTACAACAGGCCCAAACAGAAGGCAGGTTCTTTAGCCAGATAGTCAACCAGAGAAGCTTAATCAAATATTAATAAAATATCTAGTACATCATGCAATCAACCTGATGACGACCATTTGACAATTAGACTGACGCGCACAAGGATCTAAGCACCATGACCCCCACAAACATACTGCCGGACCAGAAGCACAACGAAGACAAATCTAGGATGTGAGTTTGCCTCGCGTGTTATGCACTTTCTTTTGCTCCAGGCCTTCTTCTTCTTGTTCCAGCATCAACAACTGTACTAGCACCTACCATATTGGTGATTCCTCTGCAGGGGATGGGAGGGTTGTGGAGGGCAGGGAATGCATCAATTGCCTACTACTACAGGCGGGTGCTGCAGCATCAGCAAGATCAATGACCTGGTGGATCTGAGGGGTTTAATTATCTTGAAGGAGGGTGACGAATTCATCCCCTATCACAGAAATGCTCAAGAAACGAAGACAGCGAAAATTCTTTAGGCCAAACAAGAAAGAATCAGGGAACCGAGAACAACCTAAACCAGCGCAATGCCTGGCTACAACTCCCAAGAACACGCAAGAAACCACAAGGAACTGTTCAATTCATCGCCAAGAAAGAAACCGCAAGCGCCTTAGAAAGGGGCGGGCGAAGAGGAGGAGCAAGCAGCTTAGCGGCTCACCGAGCGCGGTCAGGGAGAGCATAGTCTCCGGCAGGCGGTGGCTCCCCGGCTAGTCCCGATCCGATCGGCTGGTTGGCTCTCCGCTCTACTCTACTGTGGTCGCCTCGGCCCTGGCTTTGCGTCGCGCGCACTCTTCCTTTGCACCTCCTACTGGTACTAATCTGGCACGGACTGGGGAGTGAACTGGATTGGATTCCCCTCACTTCCTCATCAGTGCCTTTACTCCACCTCCGGCCCCTGCTTGACCCTTTCTGTCTGCCTGCCACGCTCGCGGTCACCTCCGGCCCTGCTGTCTTCCCCAACATTTCCCTTTCCAAGCTCACTGCCACTCCTGCACTCCTACGGTCCTACAAGCCTACCCGTTAACCGCCATCAGCACTATCACTGCTGAGAATCTAGCATGCCCGGTGCCTGCAGGTCACCCCCGGCTCGGCGATTGGCAATGCAGCTCGCCCTCTATTTCCTCATGTTGGGGATGGATTCAGGTGGAATGCGCATGGGATAGAATGAATTTGGATAGCACTATTTATCACATTTAAGTTCAAACTAGCAAATTTGTCTGTAGCAAAGAAAAAAAAACCAATGAAATGATGAAAACAACGACAGAAATAAGACATATTTATATGGGAGTCTCACTCTACCCCGTACCCCGGTCACTCTACCCCGTACCCCGGTCCAAAATTGGCGAGGACAGGGGGCAAGGATTTTCCACGGAAGGTCGCCAATGATTATGGTAAGATATCTGATATCTCTCTCAATTTTTTACATAGCAAACTTCATCAGCGAATGTAGAGATAGATTTATTTTTACGAGATTAGTCAACAAACTACTTATAAGATTTTAAATCTTGGTTTGATTAGTTTGACCATTGGTTGATTTTTATAAGAATAAGTTTTATTTTTAATCAAAACTATATTGACAAATTTGATGATAAAAGTCTATTTCTTAGAGAAAGATAAATAACTCAAAGTCCCACATTAACATATCTATGTTATATTTTTATGTTTATAAGGAAATTAAAAAGCCACCGGCCCAAAAGAAAAGGGCAAAAAAAACAAGCTAAAAAATCTAAAACGCAAAAATCAAGCGGGACCAATAAAACACCGAGATGTTATGGGCACGAAAAAAACTGAGAACAAAACGAAAAAAACTGAGGAAAAAAAATCGGAAATATAGATGGAGGACACGGAAAAGCGAAACAAAAAAAACAGAAACGTGATTCTCAAAGAAAAAAAACAGAAACGTGCATTAGGAGGACTGCGGATGTAAAAAAAAATAAAAGTAAATTAGATCTTTTTCATTTCTTTCTCTTCCTTTTATTTTCTTTTTCTTTCCCAACCTTATCCAGTAACTCGTGTCGTGAAACCGCACGCGCATGCGCCGCATCTCTCATGATCTCATAGACCTACGGCCGCCGCGCATGCCGTTCCCGCTCCCGCTCTCGCGTCCGCACGCCGCAGCCTGGTCGCCCTGCGCCCCACCGCCAGCGTGCCCGCACGCCTCCGCGCCGACGCAGCCCGGCGCCCCGGCATCCCGACGCCCCGTGTCACGCGGGCGACGCGGGTGACCGGCGCACAGCGGTTCTCGGAGCAGTGAGCGGATCTCGGCGACTTGGCGTGAGCAAGGGAGCAGGGAGGCCGCGTGCGGTGCGACGCGAGCAAGGAGCCGGTGGCAGCGTCGCGAACAAGGAGCAGGGAGACTGCGGAACCGCACGCGCATGCGACCGCATCTCTCATGGTCTCATCGACCTACGACCGCCGCGCATGCTGCTCCCGCTCTCGCGTCTGCACGCCGCAGCCTGGTCGCCCTGCGCCCCACTGCCATCGCGCCCGCACGCCTCTGCGCCAACGCAACCCGGCGCCCCAACATCCCGACGCCCCGTGTCACGCGGGCGACTCAGGTGACCGGCACACAGCGGTTCTCGGAGCAGGGAGCGGATCTCGGCAACTTGGCGTGAGCAAGGGAGCAGGGGGGCCGCGTGTGGAGCGACGCGAGCATGGAGCCGGTGGCAGCGTCGCGAGCAAGGAGCAGGGAGACCGCTGCTGGTTGGAGGCTACTCCGCATGCCGGCTGCAGCTGGTGGCTACTCCGCATTGCTTCGATTCGATCTTGTTTTTTTTCTTGAGAAACGAATCGATCTTGTTGCTGATTGGGATTGGTATTGGGATTGAGATGATATGTATGAATTTATGGGGTTGTAATTAGAGGTGATTTCTGGTTCGAAAAAAGAGCGAATCCCTTTCTTGATTCGATTTGCAGTCCGTTTTCAACTTGATTTGGAGTTCTTACGGACTTCTTCCTTCCCTTCTTTATTAATATACTTTGCGCGGTACGTCCACTTTGTCTTCAATATGATCTGATATCCAGAGAGGGGAGGGTATAGTTTGCACATTCACATAGGTTGTCAGTGATATAAGAAAAATGGAAATTTTGTCTAAATAAAAGGGATAGATTTAAATAGAGATACAGTGCTGAAACATAGTAAGAACATCCGAAGAGTATTCAATATTTTCTTCCTAAAAATATGAAGTTTTACGACTCTAAAAAAAATATAGGAAGAAATTAAGAAGACCATCTCTAAGAGTTTCTAATAATACACTTCTAAAATATAGAAGACAATTTTACATTATAAATCATATACTATTTCTAAATTATCTTAACCACTTTTATATATTCTTTCTCTCTACATTTGTATCAGGAACTCTTTTCTACTCTTTATTCTTTCCACGCCCTTCCCGCGTTAGATTGGCCGACAAACACGAGCGGGAGAGAGAAGATACGCGCGACTCAGAAGCGAGTAACTTTACGCGGAATATGGTGACTTTTCCTAAGTTTTAAAAGATTAGAAGAATGGATTAGGAATTGTTGGAGAAATATTTTTTCTAATCTTGCTAAAAACACAAGAATTAGGAAGGGATTTAGGAAACTCTCATAGATACTCTAACTAATAGGATTCGTATTTGGTATCTACTGTACTTAATTACCGATATAACAAATATCTATTTGTTTTATCCATAGCTCGTGAAAGAAACCTTTAGGCTAGTCTCAATGGACTTTCATTTCCAATTAATGCTACACCACATCACCAAATCTACTAAGTTGGCAAGGTATTTATTAGGAGAGAGGACAAAATAGTTCATTTTGTGGCTTGAGTATTGTCAGGGACCTAATATCGGGGTACCCAATGAGGTGGAATTAATAATCCTCGAACGTTGACGCTTCCAGTCAGACAAGAACGCTACTACGCTTCTTGCCCAAACGACGAAAGATTGGTTCCGCCTCGCCCGACCCCCGAGGGACAGGCTCCGCCTTGCCCAACGGCTAAGGGCAGGCTCCGCCTCACCCAAACGTCTAAGGGTTGGCTCCGCCTCGCCCGACGTCCGAGGGCGGGCTCCGCCTCGCCCAACAGCTGAGGGCAGGCTCCGCCTCGCCTGACGACTGAGGGCTAGCTCCGCCTCGCCCGATGGTCGAGGGCAGGCTCCGCCTCACCCGACGACTACACCCTGTTCCTTCATAAAGATGAGCACAAGGTATGATAAGATATTTAAGTCAACTGCGGTACCAAGGGCCATGCCCTGCATGCCTACAGGAAGGTACTGTCAGGATACGACGGGACGGACGCTTTAGGCCCTTTTCAACCTGACAGAGCCCGAACAGTGTTATAGGCGCCGACTTTTTGTCCCACAGTGTTGTAGGCGCCGCCATCAGCCCTCGGACACGGATACTAACACGAGCATACGACAACCACTACGATCCAAGACAGAACTCACATCATCTACAGTGACGGACGTATGATCACTTCCTCGTCTACTCCCCAAAGGGTCACGGCTCGGCTCTCTGGCATGCCGCACCGTCCGCCGATGTAGGATGGGACGCACCCACTTGCTGAAAGAGGCCAGGGCACGACCCTATAAGAATCAACGAACACACCATTCCTGACACGGTCGGTCGGCCATGTTAGCAGGACAGGCACAGGGGAAAAGGAAGGCCTGGCTCCCTCGAAGGACCTTCTCTACCTTTGGTTTTTCCTCTTTCTCCCGTCTGTAACCCCTGCTCCCCCATTGGTCTATAAAAGGGAGGGCAGAGCACCCCACTAAGGGGACCGATCGAATTCAGACAGAAGACGACGGATCAATTCCACACACAACACACAGTCAAGCAACAACCGAGCTCTTGGCGTCCTTTTGACCTTTCCATCAGAGACTTGGGACCTGTCCCTCTCTCGACCGTTTGTACCCCCTACTACGAACCTTTTTTTGGTACTAATAACACGAGCAGCAGCAAAACTGGACATAGGGACATTCTGCCCAAACCAGTATAAACCTTGTGTCCTTTAGTACACCATCTGAGCCTAACGCGCAACAATTATAAATTTACTAGTTGGTGTTTATTCGAAACACCGACAGTTGGCGCGCCAGGTAGGGGCCTTTGCGCATTCCAAATTAGGCCTCGGATGGCTAACCATGTGATCAGCTGGGTCCCAGGCACGCATGTGCGTTTCGGTGACCTAGACTTCATCATCACGGTGAGAGGAGAGTTGGCGTTGGCCCACGCCGCCATCCAATCTCTTCCCTCCATCGGTTTCAACTACGGGAGGTCTGAGCGCTAGCCCGGTGTCTCCCTTGGACCTCGGCCGTCCCGGGAGGACCCGCGCCGCCTCACCCTCTCGCCAGAACACTCCGCACCGAGTGCCCCGATGGCACTTTCGTTCGGTCTCCGCAACGCCGCGGCGATCGTTAGCCACCTTGTGGCACAGCGCACGATCCCATCCCCCGCGAACAACTAGTTCGTAGGGACGATCGAAAGCATCACGGAATCCCTCCATGGCCTCCTTGCGGAGGAGCCGGGGTCAGACTCTGGCTCTGACTCCAGCAAGGGGAGCCATCACCCCTCCTAGGAATATTTCATGGTGGAAACCCCCGAGGGACACGTCGAAAGCGTCTCCACGGAGGAGACTACCCCGGCAGGCAACCTCGGCAGCAAAATCAAAGGGGGACAGCGGCCCCACCTCACATAGGGGTGGAGCAGCTGAGAGCACGAAAGCGGGAGATAGACGAAGCCAGACAACAGCTCATTCGGGAGTACGCGGAGGTCGATCAGGAGATCGAACGCCGCAGAAACGGTGGGCGCGCACGTGCCGTGGCCCGTGACGTGAACCGAAGGATCATCGCCGATGATGAAACCCTTCCTCACTTCGTTCGGGCAAGCTAGAACATCGCCGCTGCGACGACCTTACTCCATGGCCTTCCAGAGGCTGCAATGCCCGAGGATCGTCGGGCCCACTGTGAAATTCGCACGCTGCTCGAGCGTACGGCGGCGTAGCAGGTAGAAAGCTCGTTGTCTCGACGACGCGAGCTCGACACCAGCCAGTGTACGCCCTCAGTGCACCCCACCAGGGACGCATCAGTCCACCAAACACCGCAAGGCAGCAGGCAGCGCGCTGCGGCCCAGATACATCAGCGTCTCGGCTGTAACCGCGACGCATGCAGCACCATTGACGCCCGTAGATGCACCTACAACGACACAAGGGAAGGAGCCCACCGCGGCTATCATCCTCGATGCGGCAGACGCTATGACAGCGGCGAGGACCGAAGCCCGAGCCCTGGCCTGCCAGGGCCTTAGGCCTTCTGCCGGCACATCCTCAACGCTGCATTCCCACCAAGGTATCGACCACCTACCAATATCCCTAAGTACTCTGGGGAGACAAACCCCAGACTTTGGCTTGAAGACTATCAACTTGCCTGTCAAGCCGATGGTGCGGATAATGATGACTTCGTTATCCGCTACCTCCCACTGTTCTTGCCTGATTCGGTGTGAGCATAGTTGGAGCACCTGTCGTCCAACGCAATCCAGAGTTAGGCAGATTTGAAGGAGATCTTTGTTGGAAACTTCCAGGGCACATACAAGCACCCTGGGAACCCATGGGACCTCAAGAACTACCGTTAGAAGGCTAGTGAGACCCTCCGTGGGGACATCCAGCGCTTCTCCCAACAGTGCAACGAGCTCTCTAACATCGCCGATGCCGACATGATAGGAGCCTTCCTGTCCGGGATGACCTGTGAGTCCTTGGTTCATAAGCTAGGACGCAAGGGCCTACGAACCACCAAGGAACTCCTGGACATCGCCACTAGCCATGCCTCAGGAGAAGAGGCAGTTGAAGTGATCTTCGATCGCCTCGATGGCAAGGCAAGGTGGGACGAGGGTGCCGGTGAAGGCACCTCTAATCGTTCTGCCAAAAGGAAGAACAAGAAGCAACGACATGAGGACTCGCTCATGGCCACTGCTGACCGTAAGGGTGGTCGGAAGCCCATGGAGGGCACTCCAAACCACTTCGAAAAATTACTCGAGGGGCCGTGCCCAAACCACGCCTTTCCCGTAAAGCATCTGCTCAAGGACTGTAGCCTCATACGGAAGTTCTTGCCCGGAAGCTCCAACAAAGGGGAGCAGGGGAAGGAACCTGCCCCCACTGCGGATGACGCCGACAAGAAGGACGATGGCTTTCCAATGCTGGACGGCTGCCTTATGATCTTCGAAGGTTCAGCGGCCTACGACTCCAAACGCCGTCAGAAGGTCACACGCCGTGAAGTCTACATGACCCAACCGCTCACACCTCCCTTCTTTTGGTGGTTGGAATTCGCCATAACCTTCGATCGGACTGACCATCCGGATACCGTCCCGCACCCGGGGAGATATCCGCTTGTGGTTGACCCGATCGTCAGCCCAAAGTGACTCACCAA